AGGCTCCACATCCAGCGCGGCGTTCCTGGGGGAGGCAGAGGAGCCGGATGTCACTGAGAGCCCCTCCCCTCCGCTCCCCCCAACCCGGGGCTGCCGCCCTCACTTCTTGGCCGTGACAGCTTTCTGCAGGTTCCAGAGCTTGAGCGTGCCGTCCTCAGAGGCGGTGAGCAGGGCGGCCTGGCTGTGGTGGAAAGCCAGGGAGCGCACGCCGTCGTAGTGTGAGCGCAGGGTGAACTTGGGGTTCCACGTCTTCTTAAAGGCATCTTTGCTGTCAGAGAGCTGGGGTAGGGGGAGGTGCCTCAGCGTCCCCACGGTCCCGCAGACACGGACTGACATCCAGGAGGCCAAGGACCGGTCCCTTCCCCAACCAGACCCACAGAGGGGGCTTCGGGAAAGCAGTCAAGTCAGTTTGCCCCGCGGTGCCAGGTCCCTGAGCTCTGAGTACCCGAGCAGCCTGACCGCCTCTGTGGGGGTCAGTGTGGCTTTCCTAAGGTGTCAAGAGAGCAGGACTTAACCAGATCAGGGGAGGGGACTGAGGGAGGACACTGCATGAACAAAGTCCCTGAGGCTGCAGGCCAGGTCTAGAGCCTGAGGGGAGGCCTGGGTTGTAGCAAGCAAGGGAGAGAGTGGCAGGAGCTGGGGCTGGAGCCACTTCTAGGAACCCGTATCTCATCCTAAGCGAAACAGGGAGCCCTGGAAGGGCTTAGAGCAGGGAAATGACACGGATCGGATGTAGGAAGATACGAGTGGCTGCAGGGGCCAAAGGGCCCTGAGAGAAGCCTCTCAGGCAAAGAGAGGGCACAGAGACCACACGCTGGGGAGTGGAAATGGGGACAGGTATGCACAGAAGGGAGAGACTGGGGAGCAGAATCAACAGGTCGCTGGGGGAGTCCCAGAGACCCTGCAGGTGCCCTGGTGGATGGTGGTGTCACTCTCTGAGCGGGGGACCCAGGGGCAGCCCATCGGGAAGGAGGATGAGCAGACTGTCAGGCGAGATGCCATGTCCTGCCCCAACACGGGCTCCACAGCTGATAAAGCCCTTGGTCTGGGCTCTATCCCCAAAGGTCCCCACCGCAGCTGTCACCAATGCCCTCGTTCTTTAGGGCCAGAGGCTCCGCCACTGTGTGGTTACCCCCTCACAGGCACACACGCCTGCTCGAAGCCTCTACTTCGGCCCCCCTTCCTGGCATCTCACAGCAGGGCCCACAACCCTGCTGGGGAACCAACCGCTCGAGATCCTGCTGAAAGCCGTGGTGAACGTTCCTGGGGGAAATGTGCACGTGCACCCGATGCAGAGACCAGAGGGCCAGAGGCCCATCTGTGGGTCTGGGGCTCAGAACACCGGCCCTAAAGGCCTCCCTGTCACCCCGGCCCGCCTGCCTACCAGGCCCCATCCACGCCTGGTTTTTTGGTTTCTGGCTGTCAAGTTCAGCTCAATTCCTATCTCCTGCACAAGTCTACTTCCCCACGCTGTGCCAACCCAGAGCCCCCTTCCCCTTCTGATGCCGTCCTGCCCTGCCGCCAGCCCATCCGGGGCCTGGATGTGAGGGGCACGTAGGCCAGGGGTGGGAGGGAGCACTGCCTACAGGAGATGGCAGGGGCCGAGGTGTCTTCCAGACCCTGTGCCTCGGCGACCCTGTCAAGCCCTGTGCCGAGTACATGTCCGCACCCCTCTGTACAACAGGTGAGCTGCTGAATGACCTCACAGCGTCCTCCCGCTAAGGGACCCAGCGCAGGCCAGGCACCCGGTCAGAGCTCAGCAAGAGTGGGCACAGTGCGGGATGCCCAATGAGGGCCTGTGGGGGGTAGGGCACCCCAAGAACTTACATCACAGCTGAGGTCGTTGTCGTTGGTGACGGTGAGATCTGCCAAGTCCCCCAGGCTCACCTCCCCGCCCCCGATAGTGTCCATGATGAAAACGTCTGAGGAGAAGCCAAAGGAACCTGGTAGGGGGAGGGGAGGGAAGGGGCGGAGAGGGGCAGGGAGAGAGAAAGAAAGACAGAAAGAGGCAGAGGGGGAGATCAGGAGTCAGAGACAGGGAGAGGACGAGATCAAGAATCACAGCTGGAAAGAAAGAGACAGGGAGAGACAGACAGACAGACAGGGAAGGACAGACAAAAAAAGAGGGAGACAGACAGACAGACAAACTTTTGGGACAGGGAGGCTGCAGACTAGAGGCCAGGCTTCGACCCTGAGGACACAGAAGCCCTGGGCTTAGCTCTGCAGCCCCCCTCTGCTATGGGCCCCAGGGGACTGGGCCAGGGGGGAGGGGCCGCTTACCTTCGTGTGGCCGGGGCTGGGGTGTGCCAGGAGGGGGACCCGTCACTTTAGGGGGCAGCCCATCCACATCCCGAAGGTCGGCCAAAATTCCCTGGAGTTTGACCCGCCGGCTTTCTGCAGGAACAAAGCACGGGGCTGGAGCCCGTGTTCCGGTTCACCTTAGCCACCGGAGGCCTCTCCTGCCAACGTGAGGTAGCTGGAAAGTCCTGACCAGGGAGCGCCAGGGCTCGAAGTGGGAGTGGGGTCAGGCAGAGGAGGCGCACTGAGCTAGGATGCTCTGTGATGCCAGCCTTGCAGGGAACTCAGTCCCCGGCCATCCTGTGTGACGGCCGAGGGCCTCGTGGCTCGGGGTCACAGAACAGGAGAATGCAGCCCTGCCCTGCCTGCCTCTGCCTGCCAGGTCCTCGTCCTGTTCCCTCCCCGAGGTCCAAGAACTAGACGCTTGCGCGGAGGGCCAGAGGCCCCGTTCCGGGAAGAGCTGGGCCCGCCTGCGTCCCCACAGGGATTTTCCAGGGAAGGGGTGAGGGCCCGGTCGCCACGGTCTGGGGCTCCTGCTCTCCTCGGCCACCCTCCTCTCAGGAAGCGTATCCGTCCGGTGGAGACCCTGGGGCAGGAAGCAGCTGTGGGCGGCCGCGTGTGCCCCTACCTCGCCTGGTGAGGACGGCTGGCCAGAAAACCCTCAGCTTACCCAACTCGTGGTGGGTCCCCTCTGCGGCACATCGTCGAGGGTCCGGAGAGCCCTCCCCATCCTCTCCCGAGCCCAAGAAATCGAACTCGTTGATGGCATCTTCAGAGTCATCCTCCTCGTCCTCGTCCTCCATTTCAGGCACCAGGGCCTTGGAGGGCAGCTGGGCATGGAGGAAACCAGACGGGTCAGGAGGCTCCCGCCCACAGCGCGAGCCCAAGCCCAGGCCCGCCGCGCCTCCAGGAACCAGCTGGCCCTGCCTGGAAGAGTCCCACACCGGACACAGCTCCACCTCCCTCCCCTCGTGCCCTTCCCGGGGGGCCAGGACGCGCTTTGGTGGCAGCGCTCCCCCTGCTGGCAGCCTTCAGGGGCCGAGGCGGCCCCACAGCTCGGAAGTCTCTTCCTCCTCCCGGCCACCCCACCCCTGCCCCCACCTGTGATCCCCTCACAGGCCCCACCCTCCCCTTCCGCAAGCCTGTATGGAGGGGGTGGGGAGAGGCAGACGGCAAAGGCCGCCGCAGAGCAGAGGGGAGAGACGTATGTGCCTACGTGTGTAAGTGAGTGTGCGGAGATGCACGATTCGAGTGGCATGGACGCGCGGGGGTGACGGTGGCAAAGGCTTATCGAACTCCGTGCCAGCCTCTACGCGTTCTTCAGAGCACCAAGCGAGCTTCACCCGTGTGACTTCACAACCTTGTGAAGAGTTGGCATCGCTGTGCTTATTCCCATACTACAGATGAGGAAACCGAGGCTGAGCAGCGAAGCCCCGCATCCCAGGTCCCCGGTCCAAGCCGTTCTCGAGACGCTGAGGCGGCTCTGGACCGGAAGATCACTGAGGGTCCTCCGAGTCTCCCTTCCATCTTGCTGGGTGGGCTGAGGCTCCATAGCGCGCGCCACCTTGGACCGAGAGCGCACAGCACCGTCCCCCCGCCCGGAGGAGCAGGATGCCAGGCAGGCGAGGTCTTCCGCAGGGTCACGCCCAAACCCTCTCGTGTTCCTCCCTCCGCAAGCTCGGACCCCATCCCAGACGTGGGACTTCGGAGCAGCACGGCGCCCGCATTTCCCCACGCGGCCCGGCCTTCCACAGGGACACCCGCATCCAATCCTTCACCCTCCTGCGGTGCCCGCGTCACCACGTCGTACACAAAGTGCCGTCCGGGGGCTGTGTGCGCGCAATCCCCACGGCTGCCTGAAACGACTCAGGGGGGTTCCAGGAGTTTCAACGACAGTTCGGGTCTCTCTCTGACTTCTGCTCCAGGTGCTGGTGTCAGAGCACACCCCGGCCTGGCACGGGGACTCTGGCGACCACCGGCCTCAAACACCACCCCTTTCGGGGAATCCTCTCCCTCCCAAGTGTCCCCGGACTGGACCAAGTCCGGGCACTCACAAGGCCAGCCTCAGACCGCAGGCTCCTCGAGGGTGTGGCTGACCCCCCCACCCCCGCCCCCACGCAGGCCCAGCACTCCAAGCCGGCACAGCAGGCTATGAATCCGTGGAGTCACAATCGCTCAGGCGTCCGTAAGGCGCCAGCCACTGGCCTGTGTGGGAGGACCAGAGGGACGGGACGCGGCGACCTCCTCCTCCTTCCCTCAAGGATTGGCCAGCGTGCCCAGAGAGGCCCCGGTGGGGCCAGGGCTCTGCAGAAGCATGGAAGCGTAAACAGGCGTTCTCCAGGGCCCATGACACAGGTGTCCCGTGCAGTTCTGTTCTGCCCACCGTGCCCAGCGCTGCGAATACTGCCACCACCGAGCACCGGGTGTGGCCAGCCCCAGCGTAGCCAAGGACTCCACAGGCACGAATTCACGTTAAAGAAATCCTCAACAACCCAGAGACAGAGACGGTGAGCCCCCGAAACTGCCGCTAAGACAAAGAGAATCACATGCCCGAAGGCACACAGCCAGGCCAGTGGCCGCTGCGGGAGCCTTAGAGATCTTTGGAAGAACAGTCTGGTCACTAAAGGTCTCCTGGGTGAGACAGCGGGCCCGGGGAGGCGCGAGACCCCTGTCTGATGAGCCTCCCTCGCAGGGCCCGCGGGACAAGTGCGAGGACAGACACAAAAGCCCGAGGGAGTGTAGGTCAGCGATGATCTCTGCTGGGAGGAGCAGAGAGGAGCGGGCAGGCCTCCCAGAGGAGGATGAGGTAAGAGCTGAAAAAGGAGTGAAAATCCCAAGAGGCACAGGAGAGACCACGAACAGGATCAGAGGCCCCAGCCTCAGAGACATCCTGATTCTCCTGGAACCCAGCTCCAGCGTCCTGGCTCTGTGCGTTCCCCAAGCGCCTACGCTAGGCGGGACCCTGTGCTGAGCCGCACCGGGGACCCTGGAGACAGAGCTGTGGCAAGGACAGACGTGGTCCCACACAGACGTGGGGACACCAGACAGGGAGGACCCAGAGCGGTCCGGGTCCAGATGGCTCCGACCCCGCCGAGAGAAGGGGAGGAAGGGCCGGTGAGAGGTCAGAGAAGGTGGCGTGGAGGGACGGCAGAGGAGGGGCGCTAAGGTAAGGCTGAAGGAGGCAGAGAAGGGCTCTGATGGGAAGGCCCCACACAGGCCCCCTTCGTGCAGCCCGCATGGCAGCACGTCCCTTGGCACAGGACTGCTTACCAACCCCCCGCCGGCTGCCGGCTCCCCACGCCAGGGACCGGACCTCTCCATGGCAGCTGCCACAGAGCAGAGCTAGTCATACCCAGCCCAAAGCGAGGTTTTTTTTTTACTGGACAGGTGAGGTGAGCCCACATGATGCCTGGGGACGGTGCCACCGAAACGGCAGGAACACGGTGGCTCTGGCAGTCAATCTTGAAGGGGTCTCAAATGTTGAGGCCATTATCTTGAAGCCAAGCTGAGATCTGGACTCTGGCCTGCGGGGGGTGCCCCTGGGCCTCGGTCTCGACGCAAGGGCAGGATGGACGCTCAAAACTACCAAGGCCCCCACGGATGCCCCAACCTGGCCCCGGGCTGACCATGTGACCATCAGGGGGGCTGGGTGCTGGGAAGAGAAGAGCGGGAGGACACACGCTGGCGAGCACACTAAGTCCCCATGGTGGGCTCTGATCTATCGGGGAAGACCAGGAAGCCCTTGTGATTGTGGGTGATGGAGGTCAGGCCTAAGCCCAAGATGAGGACAGACTACCAAGCTGGCAGCGGAGAGGGGCTGGGTGTGGCTGGCCCAGTCTGGAGAGTTGAAGCCTCTCGGAGCTGAAGAAAGGATGGGAGGAGACGGGTGGGGGAAGACGAGGCCCCGACAGGTTACCGAGGCAAAGTGGCCCAGAACTGCGACTATTAAATTGAGCCACGCAAGAGCACTGTGCCGCCGGCACACAAAGCAGGGGGGCCCTCCCGGGGGAGGGGATGGGGCGGGGAGCGCACCTTCACCCGCTGTTTCTTGTGCTGCACACTGTCCAACTCGTCGTCCTCGTCACTGTCCTCGTCCTCACAGCTCTGCAGGAAGGGGATCTGCTCCAGCACCGAGCCGCTCAGGCGCTCTTGGCCATCTTTGCCTGCCGCGTTCCTGCCCACGACAGGGGGGCAGGGGGGGCATTAGTCCCGCCAGGTGGCAAAGCTCAGAGGTGGCCAGAGCCTGGCCCCGGCGCTCAAGGGGGCTGAAACCACCATGATCACACGCGGGGCTCCAATCGCAGCCTCTGACCAACAGACACTCACCCCACCCCGACACCTTCACGTGCCGGGTCAGGAGAGCGGGCCGAGGAAGTGTCGCTGAGTCAGCAGCCCCTGTTCCCTCGGCCCAGGCAAACCACAGGCGCGCATCAGGCAAGCGGCAGACGCGCCCGGCGGGAAAGAGGAACCGGTCACTCTGAAAACGCCCGGGGCCCCGTGGGCGGCCCAGCCGTCAACGCACCTGCACCCTCCCGACTGACAGATGGCCTCCCATTTCCACTCCTGGCCAACCGTCTGATGCCTCCAAGCGGATAACGGGTTTTAACAAAAGGGTTATTTGCCCAAACCTGACTCCAGGGCAGAAAAGTGGGTGGGATTCAAAGTTCAGATAAACACAAACATCCTCCTTTATGGCCACGGGGCCAATGCTCCGGAGAGTTCCTGCCAACTGCCCAGGTCTACCTACAGTCACTGCCCGGAGGACAGATCTTTCCTCCGGGCTGCCAAATCCGGCACCGCGTCCTGGCCATGCGCGTCCTGGCCGCATGGCGTGCGGCCTCCCAGCAGAGCATCTCTGGGGTTTCCTTCGGCAACACGGCTGCACCGGCCCAGCCTCCTCGGCTGCTGCCTCTAGCCTGCCAACCCCGCCCGCATGCTGGTGAACTAGAGGGGAGTTCGGAGTCCAGCCCCCACCACCCCCACCCGAGCTCCAGGCTGGCCACGCGTCACCTGCACTGGGGGCCGCCCGGCCGCGGACTCCGCCCGCCCTCGACGCTCCTTCCACGCGGCTCCCGTCGCAGCCAACGCGGCTCCCGTCGCTTGGCCCGAACCCCAGAGCCACCCCCTGGTTTCCCTCCCCTCCCCGACACCCACTCCTTCCAAAAGAAAACCCACGGACGGAGAGGCTGGCCGCTTGGCGCGCCCTCCGCCTCTTGCCAGGACCCCGCAGGAGGCTCCCAGCCGCACTCCCGCTCCTGCCCTCCAGCCCTTCCTCCTCGAAGCCGACCAGCACACTGGATTGTGTCACACCCCCGCTCGAAACCACGGGCTTCCCACAACCCGTAGAGAAGAATCCAAACTCTCTATCGTGGCCGGTACAGCCCCATTTCATCTCACTCCTGAGATTTCAACCTCACCACAGACCACAGCCCCACATGCTCACTCCCTGCAGCCACACAGGCCTGGCCGCGGGTTCCTCAACATGCCAAGTCTCGGGACCCTGACGGTCGCTGTTCCCGTGGGCGGCTTACTCCATCTCCTGCGGTTCTCTGCCCAGATGGCACCCCGTGAAGAGGCCCCCCGCCGCCCATTCAAAGCAGGGCCACTGCCTATCACTCTTCCTTCTTCCCCTTCTGCACAGCACTGAACGTCACCAAATGTTAAGTCACTGATGCTGAGGAACAACTACCAGTGAGACGACGAACAAGTGAGAGCTCCCCAGGGCGGTGGCCATGTATTTCGCTCCCCACCGGGGGCTGGGGGTGCCACCCAGGCTCTGCCTTCAGCTGCTGCCCCACGTGCTGGGCGGTTTAAGGCCTGAGCCTCAGAAGAAGCGCCGCGCCGGACGTGAGCCGTGACGCGAATCGGCACGAAGATGACACCACGGGAGTATGTGCAGGGGGACCCAGAAGAGAATCCAGGGATCCCACAATGAAGGCACTGAAGGCTCTGGAACGAACGGACCCACAATACCCTCCAGGAAGGAAGTGGCCACCAGAGCACCAGGGAGCACCGTTGGCTTTTCTGACATCGGCCTTCATCAGGAGGAGGGGACACAGAGGAACAGACCTGCCAGGCCTCACCAAGGGCTCACCTTTTGATCTGCTCTTCGATCTGTTTCACCAGCAGCGACTCACCCCCGCTGAGCCCCCCGGGGCCTGGCGTGGCCCTGGAGCCACCTTCGCTGGGCTCCACGGCCCCGTTGAGCTCCAACGAGCGACCTAGTAGGGACCGCACGCGTTTGGACCGCATGTCCAGGATGGTGTCCGTATAGCCCACCTCCTCCAGGTACCTGCAGGGAGACAGCACTGGCGTGGGTCAGGGGTCTCCTGGCTTCTCTGGGGGCTGCTGCAAACTGGGACAGCCTTTTTGGAGAAGCAACTTAAGACGACACATCAGGGGGCGCCTGAGTGGCTCATTCGGTTCAGCGTCCAACCTGAGGTCAGGTCACGATCTCATGGTTCGTGGGTTCGAGCCCGGCCTTGGGCTCTGTGCTGACAGCCCGGAGCCTGGGGCCTGCTTCGGATTCTGTGTCTCCCTCTCTCTCTCTGCCCCTCTCCCACTCCCACTCTGTCTCTCAAAAATAAATAAATGTTAAGAAAAAAATAATAAAGACTACACACCGGTATTTTTTTAATTAAAAAAATTTTTAACGTTTAAATTTATTTTTGAGAGAGGCAGAGTATAAGTGGGGGAGGGCAGAGAGAGGGAGACACAGAATCCAAAGCAGGTTCATTCTGAGCTGTCAGCACAGAGCCCAACGTGGGGCTCCAAACCCATGGACTGTGAGATCGTGACCTGAGCCGAAGTCGGATGCTCAACCGACTGAGCTCCCCAGGCGCCTCTACACCAGTATTTTAGATTTCCTTTTTTTTAGGTTTATTTTCAGAGAGAGGGAGAGAGAGAGAGATGGAACACACACATACAAGCAGGGGAGGGGCAGAGAGGGAGAGACAGAATCCCAAGCAGGCTCCACGCCATCAGTGCAGAACCCGATGTGGGGCTCAAACTCAAGAACCGTGAGATCATGACCTGAGCCGAGATCAAGTGTTGGATGTTCAACGTACTGCACCACACGGGCGCCCCGGCACAGTATTTTAAATAAGCATACCCTGGCCCCGCTGTTTCACTTTCAAGTCTATTTCCAGGAGAAGCCTTTATACACAAGCATAATGCAGCCACACAGATGCTTGCCAGGATGTTGTACATAAAAGCCAAAATGCAGGGGCCAAGCAACATGTCCACTGCAGAGGACCATGGCCGCAAATGACTGATGGGAACGCTAGGCAGAAAATAAAGGAGGCAGAGTGCCAAGACGGCCACAGTAAACGGTTTCACCAAATAAGTTATGTGATCCGTATAATTCAGTTAAAAAAAAAAAAAAAAAGTGTTGGGGTGCCTGGGTGGCTCAGTTAAGTGTCCCGACTTTGGCTCAGGCCGGGACCTCATGGTTCACAAGATCAAGCCATGAGTCAGGCTCTGAACTGACAGTGTGGAGCCTGCTTGGGATTCTCGGGCTCCCTCTCCCTGTGCCCCTCCGCTGCTCCATCTCTCTTTCTCCAAATAAATAAATAAACGTTTTCTTAAAAAGTGTTAGGGGCGCCTGGGTGGCTCCGTCAGTTGAGCGTCCGACTTCGGCTCAGGTCATAATCTCATGGTTCGTGAGTTCGAGTCCCGTGTCGGGCTCTGGGCTGACAGCTCGGAGCCTGGAGCCTGCTTCGGAGTCTGTGTCTCCCTCTCTCTGCCCTTGCCCTGCTCACACTCTGTGTCTCTCTCTCAAAAATAAACAAACAACAACAACAACAAAAGTGTCAATGTGTGCAAGAGTATAAGATCACACACAAACACATTTGAAGTATGCCCCCCCACAAGGCCTGGAAAGAGACAGACACACTAAACTCAACAGCAGTGACTTTCAACCTTCAGAACAAGGGATTCGAGATGTGAAATAAACCTTTACAACTTACTCTACTCACTTCTACAAATTAGTTTTTATTACTTCTGTAATTAAAAAAAATGGAAACTAGCTGGGACTAGTCTAAAAGTTAAAAATAGGGGGAAAAAATCAATTGTGGGTATCTGTGGCTTTAAAAGATACAAGAGTCCCTCGCTGGTCCTCTGGTGGCTCCTCAAGAAGCCTTTTATGTTCACCATGACCTTGTCCCTTGGGGACCCCCGAGACTGCCCCTCACACACTGGAGCACACCTGCCTTCACCTGCCGTGTCATCTAGAGTGCCTGCCTGTGTCCGAGGTCCCCTCTACCCCCGCAGGGGAGAGGCAGGGAAGCACGGTGGTGAAGAAGCTGGGCTCTGGGGGTGGACCCCCAAGATCACCTCTCGGACCCTCCACTTGACGGCGCTGTCGTCTTATGCAAACACACGCCCTCTCCGCACCCATGCCGTTAGGGGAACTCTAGGAGCTTACCGCATAGGAAGTCTCGCGAGGAATCAACGTGAGCGCGACATTCAGCACAGCGCCAGGCACATAACAGGCGCCTGGCAGGTGCTGCGTGTTACAACCATTCTGCTGTGACTGCCTGCACACACTGGAAGCTAGCAATGTGCTTCCAGATATTTAGCTTAAGGAAATCAGGGACATGGGGCGCCTGGGTGGCACAGCCGGTTAGGCATCTGACTCTGTTTCGGCTCAGGTCATGATCTCACAGTCCATGAGTTCGAGCCCTGCATCGGGTTCTGCTCTGACAGATTGGGATCCTCTCTCTCCTCCTCTCTCTCTGTCTCTCCTATGCTCTCTTTCTCTCTCTCTCAAAATAAAGAAACCTAAAAAAAAGTCACTTCTTCAAATCAGAAAAATAAAAAACCACAAACCTCTTTAATAATACAATACCCCCTTTTTTAAAAGCCAGAGGCCTCTGGGGTCACTTCTCAAGAGCAAAGTTCCCCCATGTCTGCCTCCTGCAGCCAAGTCTTCCCTCCAGGCCAGCCTCCACCCACAGCACGACAGGCCAGCAAGGATCCAGCAAGGACAGTTCGATGTCCTCCAACCACCCGACGGGGACAGGAAGGGCTGTGGAGTCTTCAAGTTGATCTCCCAAGCCAAACACGTGCCTCTGCCTACCCCAGCCCGGCACCCCTGCCCTGCACACTCACTGTCGGAGAAGCTGGCGCCCCTCCTTCCACACCAGGGGGCTGTTCTCCAGGGTGACCGACTCCATGGGGCCATTGGAAACTGGAGAGTGGAGACAAAGGAGGTGGGTTGTCTTGGGGTGCTGCCACGTACCCATCACCTCCTCCCCCTTCCTCATCCTCAAGCCCTAACGAGCCACTATCAGGTCACTGTCACAGGTCCTACTGAGTCCCTACCTGACGGCGTCTGAAACCTACTACCCTCTCCCCTCCACGCCCTCTACTCTCCTTGTTATTTTCCTACACAGGAATCCGATCCTGTTCGGACAGCGTATACAGAGCAGCTCTGTACTTCAAATGCGGTTCTGCCATGTTCCGGCTGTGTGCCACTGAGCAGGCTGCTTTACATCTCTGAGCCTCAGTTTCCTCTTCTGAGAAAATCAGTTAATAACGGTAGCACCTACCTCTCGGGATCCTCATGAGGATTAAATGAGACCGTCTGTTTATTTTATTAACTACTCACTCGGCATCAACCAGGCTCCTGACTGGGCACCTGGGTGACATCAGTGACCAAGACCCCTGCCCTGTGGAGCTCCTGTCCTCGTAGGAGGGGTCTGACATAAATAACAGCATCGCTGTTCACGCGGCACTGAAGGCCTTGCTGGGTCGCCCAGCTGGTCGCCTCCACTACCCCCACACTTGTTCCAGTCTCACCCAGTAACTGCCTGTCCCCTAACATACCTCCTCCACATCGTCGTGCTTCTGTACATGCGTCCCTCTACCTGGCACACCTGCCCTCCTTACCTGTTGGTGAACAGGGCCCTCTTCCAGGGAGCTTAGAACATTAGGGACGCTGTCTGTCGGTTTCGCGGAGGGATGGCAGGCAGGACAGGCCTTCCTCACTCTCCACCTCGCTATCCACCACCCTCCCCACTCTGGGGCCCTGCAGAGCAGCCCACGAAGAGGGGCGCTGAGAGTGAGGTTCAAGCCCTCCCCAGCCCCCCACTCGGCCAAGTCTGCTTCCTGTGGAGCGAGTAAGAAAGAGGCGACCCCACTCTGCGCCACAACGTCACGTTCAGGGTTGCTGGGAACGGGGGGGCGCAAGGAGGGTGGATCTGACGGCGGGTACCTTGTTCTGCCAGTTCTGGCTTCTTCTCCCCCTGGTTCAGGTCTGTCCCGAACTTCAACTTGTGATACTTGGCCCTAAAAGAGCAAAACGATTACTGGAGGACAGATGCAGAAGAGCGGACTGGGCCAGCACTCACCTCAGGCGCCCAGATTCCAGGGGCCCCCCAGCCCACTCTCCTCCCGCCCCCACCCCGGCCTTCAGGAAGCAGCGCTGGTGGGAGAGGCACCACACGTGGCGTTGAGAGGGACCCACTCTTTGGAGTCGGGCAGACCGGGGAGCTACCCCGGCTCCAGGAGACCCCGAAGAAGTCCTCACCCTCTGGAAGCCTCACCTGGACCCATTAGGCGGGAGGAAGGGGACCGAGGCGGTGAGCATTCGGCAGGGGCCGCCGCCACTATGAAAACTGTTAGCAGCCGTTATCCTGAACTCCACCTACGGCGCCCTCTTCTGTCCCCCCCACTGGAACCACACGGCGGTGGGCGACGGGGAAGAGAATGCCAGGCTCCAAACCTCCCTCAGCCGGAAGGCATGCGGCCGGCCTCCTGAGCCTCCATCCGGGCCTGACTTCAGAAGGCAGGATTCCAGGGCAGCAGGGCTCACCTTTCCTGCTTCAGGGCATACTCCAACATCTTGATCCGTCGCACCAGGTCTGTCTTGAGGTTCTCTTGCCCTTTCCTTTCTCCCTGGAGGAAGGCTACCTGAGCCTGGAGGGATAGGAGGGAACGGGAAGGCAGCAGGGCTCAGGCTCACTGATGTGCGTCCCTCGCTCACGCAGGGACAGTCAGAGCCAGCCCCTACCCCCACAATGACATGCAGCAGCCACTTCCTCAGGCGTGAAGGCCCCGAGCCAGGGTTCAATGGAGCAGCGACAGGGCATGCTGGATCTGTTTCCAGAGTCCCCTGCCATGTGACCCACCGTGAAAGAGCTGAGGAGGAGTCTTTAACCCTTGCGATTAAAATGGGGCCAGCTCGGGCCTAACGTGGCCCCTGGCTTTTGGGGAGAAGCCGGACCGGGGACGAAGGCGGGGGAGGTAGGCATGAGGAGCCCTCGGCTCCTTCTCCCCCATCCTAAGGCAGGTGCTGTCCCCTACAGTGCTGGTGGAGGTGGCGTCTCACTATTTCTACCAGAGCATCTGTCTCTGGGAGGCGTAGGAAGCTACTTCTGGAGCTTAGGGACAAGAGTGGGTGGCTCAGCTCAGCTCCCGCTCCAATGCAAAAGCTTTACCACCCAACCCCCACCGTGGGGACCACGCGTCCCACCGGAGTCTGCCCAGGGTGAGCGAGACATGCCACAGACATGACCCAGGGCCCCTGCCAACCACTTCACACCGTCTGCTGGCATGGGCTACCCCAGTCTGCTCTGGTCTGTCAACAGGTCTTTTGGAGACACTGGGCCAACGGCCTTCGAGGCAGGATCCTGGCCCCTGACCATGTTCCAGAAGTCCTGTGCCAAAGCCCTGAGAGCAGGGCTCAACCCTGGCTTCTCCCCAAGTGCTCCACTGTGACAGGCTGGGACAGCCTGAGCTCCAGGCCGGGCTCGGCCACTTACTTGCTGCATGATCTTAGGCAGGTCACCGGCCTTCTCTGAGCCTCCATTTCCCCTTCTAGAAAATGGGGCTCACGAGAGTGCCTGCCCCTCATGTGTTAAGTTCTTCTCAGTCCGAGGCCTAGCACAGAAGAAGGGCTAATAAATGCCAGCTCCTACCTATTATTTTTATTCTCCCTGTCCGTTCTTCCGCAACGCTGAAATGGGCCCAGCTCCTTAAGGGAGTGAAGAGCCCTCTGAGACCCAAGCCCCATTGAGCGGAGAGGTCTGTGGCTTACAGGCCTCCTGCCCCACAGGCGGCTGCGTCGTCTTCGCAGCCGTTCCCCAAACACCACGTGCTTGCTGGAGGACTTCAGTGACTCCACCAGAAGCCCCGGGTCTGGCCACAGACCCCTCTTCCAGGCCATGACCATTCTCAAAGCCCTGCTCCAGGACTGTAAGCTTCAGTAGCCTCTCGGATGCCCGCCCCCCACGGCTCTCCCTCTCCTTGGGGCTCCAAGGGCCATGACCTATCTGCCCTGTGCACTTGGCAGTGCAGCACAGCCCGTGCCCACAAGCCAACTATCGCCTCTGTCGTGCTCCAGGGACCAGGTCTTTCCCTCAGGTTAGCTGAGAACTGAGCAGGTGCTAAGTAATGCCTGGCACTGGCTGAGAACCAGGGAAACAGGCACGCTCATGTTCCGCTGGTGGGGTCATAAATCGACGCACCCTTCCTGGAGGGCAATTTGGCCATGTTTATAAAAATGTCAAACGCACATTCCCTTTGTCCTGACAGGTCCACTTCCAGGGATGTAGCTAGCCTACAGCTATAAGTGCAACGCAGGCTTCTTTTTGAGAGAATAAAAAAGGATATATGAGCATTGACATAAAACAAAGGTTTCACGTGTTCACCCGTTGACACCAATACTTACTGAGCTCCAACTAAGTATCAGATACAGCTACAGACAGAGAACAGCACTAAACAAGATGAGACGTGTGTTACGGAGGGGAGGGGACAAATAACAAACAGATCGCCATATGTCACCAGGTACACTATGGGGGGAAAAAATCCTCCGTCCACTGAAGGAATGGGACTCCCCACCCCGCCCTTGTGAACATTGTTTTCGCTCTACGTTTTAAATTAACACAGGGGCGCCTGGGTGGCTCAGTCTATTGAGCATCCAACTCCGGCTCAGGTCATGATCTCACGGTTCATGGGTTTGGGCCCCACATCAGGCTCTGTGCCGACAGCTCAGAGCCCGGAGCCTGCTTCAGAGTCTGTGTCTCCCTCTCTCCACCCCTCTCCTGCTCACACTCTGTCTCTCTCAAAAATAAACAAACGTTAAATCAACACATACGTACGTAAATATCTAAGGCTAGACAGGCGGACTCTCGTGTGATCACCATCTTGGAAGTCTGAAATGTCTGTCCTTTGTGTATCTTCTCAGTCACCCAAGTCTACCCTGTCCCGTCTATTTCAGAAGGTGGGGGAGAGAGGTGGAGAAGAAAAGGTCGATCGCCAAACACAAGCTCTGAGTTACCTCCTCACCATCCTCCCTACCCTCTGTGGCTTCCACAGCGAGTGTTCTGGTTCCCAGGGCCAGTACAGCCTGCTGAGAGCCTCCATTCATTCCAACATCCAGCACCTGTGACAGCCTGTGACAGCCAGGTCCTGCATGAGGCATTCGTCTGAGTGGTTCCTGGCCCCACAGAGCTCTCAGTGCAGCACAGGAGACAGGCAGAAGCATCGACAACCAACACACGATTTGACTATGGCCACGGTGAGGAAGCAAAGGGTGTTATGGGACAAGGGACGCCCAACCCGTTTCTGGAGTCAAGATGCACAGTTCAGCCAAGACCCAAAGGCTGTCAGAAGTCAGCCAGGGGAGTAGAGTGGCTGCTGGAAGAGGGTAGAGACAAGATCCGTGCCCACAAACCAACTGTCACCTCTGTCCTGCTCTAGGGACCAGGTCTCTCCCTCAGGTTAGCTGAGAACTGAGCACGTACATGCTAAGTAATGCCTGGACTGGCCAAGAACCGGGGAGACAGGCACACTCGTATTCCGCCGGTGGGGTCATAAATTGAGGCCAGTATGGCCACATCAGAATGTGCTACAGGGTTCACGAAGAAAGGCAGAGAGGCTTGTAGGCCCGAGAAAGGACCGCAGACCAAATTAGGGTTCGAAGGTTGTCCTGAGAGCACAGGGGAAGCCATGGAAAGGTTTCAAACAAGGGAGAGATGGGATCAGTGCATGTTACAAAGATAATTCCAGCTATACTATGGAGAACTGATGGCCTGGGGGGAGGGGCATGCCCCAGTCACAGGAGGCAGTCCCAGAAACGCCAGGGAGAAATGACAGTGGCTCAGACTAGATGGGGGTGCTGGGTTACTGGATCTGAGGTGCTAAGGAGGCAGGACTGATGACACAGGTGACCTCAGTCTGTGGGGGGAGAAAGGGAAGTCAAGAACGTGCCAGACCCTCACACATGCTCAGCCTGGCCCCTGTATCTCCTTGTTACCACCACGTCAAGTCCCCATCTCCCTTCTCCTAATTATGGTGCAAGAACCTGGCTCAGCCCACTCTGCTCCGCTGTCCCTTCCCCAGTTCCTCTGGCAAAGGGAGGAGAGAGAGAACCACAAACATGTGGTCGAAGCCCCGAACCAACTCAACAGAATCCCACAGAAAGGGGAAGTGTCAGGGGCCAGTCCCTCCTACCTCTGAAAATGCCGGCAGCCCATGCTGTCTGTCTGACCTGAGTGCCATGGTAGGCTGGCAAGTAAGCCCAGGATCTGGAAGTTTCTCTACCCACCACATCCACCCGCTGCCACTCCCTCTGGCCCGACTGTTAGAACACCCCCTCCCCCGCCCCAGATCCGTGCCCAAACTCAGCTGCCACCTCTCCTGCGGCTGCTCCCCCTTTCCAGCTAGGCAGCGCGGAAAAGGCTTCCCGGGAGCCTCAGCATCTCAATCCTCCCAGGAGCTGGTGCTGGGCTTCCTGTCCCAGCCCCCAGTCCTGTGTGCTCCCCTTCTGGACCCACCGAGCCCCATGTCTCCTGCACTCCTCCTTCCCAAGCCGCACGGGCTCCTCGCAGGGAGGACGCCCCCCCCCC